TTATAAGAATATTTAATAGATTCACAAAAATTTTGCTCAGTTTTCATTTTCATAACCTACCTCTTCATTGCCACAGTCACATTCTTCATTAGGCTCCAAAATCCCATTACCACACACTGGTTGATTTTCATATAATAATTGTAAGTGTGAAATTTCCTGAAGACATTTAGGTTCAAATTTTGAAACAAAATGGGTGTAGTCATACATGCTACAGTTGCTAAACATCTTTATACCACTGGAATACCTAAAATTAAATAATATTCTTCATGTAAACAGTTATGTTTAATATAATAAAATGTAAACAATATCCACTGCTTTTGAGTTGATCCCAAGTTATAGAGAATTCATATTTAGTTTCACAAATGATAACAATGATTAAAGTGACTAACCTCCTATCTTTTCTCATCCCTTACTAGATTTAAAGTTAAATAAAGTTTTAATTTTATCATTACTTATTTTTAACAGTTTTTAAAATACATTAGCTTGAAAATATTGGTTTTCATAAAAGTAATTTATTGTTGTTAGGTGCCATCCAGTCAACTATGAACAACAAATTTGAGCCTTGCCCTATACTGTGCCATTTCAACATCTCTAGTATTCTTGAGCTCATTGATGCAGTCACTGTGTCATTCCATCTTTTTAAGGGTCTTCCTCTCTTTTGCTGATCCTCTATCTTTTCAAACATAATACCTTTTCCCAAAAGTTTGGCTCTCCTAAAAACATGCCCAAAGTATGTGATATGAAGCTCCATCATCCTTGCCTCCAAGGAGTACCCTGGTTGCATTTTCTCCAAGACATATTTTTTATTATTTTGGCAGTCCATAGGATATTCAGTGCTCTTCTCCAACACCACCATTCAAAGGCATAAATTCTTTTTCTGTCATTCTTAGTCATTATCCAACTTTCAGATGCACAGGAAGTAATTGAAAAGTAATTGGATCAGGTGCACTTTAGTCTTTAAACTGACATTATTGCTCTTAGCACTTTGGAGAGGTTCTTGACAGCAGATTTAACAATGCAGTGTTTTTGTTTTGTTTCCTTTTATTTCTTGGCTGCTGGTGTTGATTGTGTGCCAAAGTAAGGTGAAATTGCTTCCTCAGAAAGTAACACAACATTCTAAATATAATACATATAACTTATACAATACTATAAAGCACAAATATATTATATATAATACATATACTATATTACATACAGTACTGGATGTATAAACATTTTACAGGTTGAGCATGGTACCATTTAATAGAAAACTGAGCGGTATTGAAAATCTAGCTCATCTGATCTCCACTAAATATACAAAAGGAAGCAGTGTATATCAACAATATCCACAGTACGAAACTGATAACTATAAGACCAGGCATTCTCCAACATTCTTGCTCATTCTTCTACCAGTGCCAGAAACAACCATCCCTCTCACGGCTTTCATTGCTCTTCATAGCTACTGGGTCAACTAATCCATTGCAATGATCACACAGAATTCACAGATCATACAATTATGGGATTTGTTAGCGATGTTAAAAGGTTACAATCCAGGCAGGAAATGGTATACAATTCCTCAGTCAGGACAATTTCGTAAACATGCTTACAGACTCTTTAATTTTCAGCCTTACAATTTAAAACCAGTGTTGCTCTTTTTTTCTTGCTAATTTTGGAATTTCTCCAGAGTCACCGAGAATGTTTGAATGAAGGTTGTGACTCTGGCTTTGAATCCATGAGGTGACATTTCTCCCCTCATGTGGGTCTCTGATTCTCCAATATTGTTTAAGTGTCTCAACTTGTTTGATATACGAATTTATCTGGCCTTAAAAGATGCATACTGTAGTCTCTGCTTTTTTTTTTCTTTTTCTTGCTTGCAGGGAGATTTTCGAGTGCAAACGGTCATTAAAAAGACGGAAGAGGAAGAAAAGACCTAAATGGATGTCAGAAGAAACTCTGAAGATTGCACTGGAGTGTAGCAAAGTCAAAGCACAAGGAAAAATTCAAGATACTAAAGAGCTGAACAGAAGATTCCAAAAGGCAGCAGGGAATGACAAAGCAAAATATTACAATGAAATGTGTGAGGAGCTAGAGTTGGAAAATCAAAAGGGC